CCCTACTCTCCCCTTGAGGAGAAACCGAGAAGAAATGTTGATTCTCAAAAAATGACACATCTATTGAGACATAGTACTTACGAGAGATGGGATCATAGCAACGGTACCCCTTTTGAGATAGAAAGTAACCAAGGAAGACACAAGGAATAGCACGAGAATCAAGTTTACCCCGAATAGGTGACAAGTTATGAACAAAGCAACGACACCCAAAAACACGCATTGGAATGGGGAACAACAGAGTTGTATGAAACAAAAGCTGATGTGGGGCTTTATACTCTAGTAACCGAGAGGGCAGTTGATGATGTACCTAGCACACAAAACAACATCCATCCAAAAGCGTTTCAGAACATTCATATGGATTAACAAGCCACGAGCTACATCAAGAAGATGACAGTTTTTTCTTTTAGCAACACCGTTTTGTTGAGGTGTCCTAGCACAAGAGCTTCGTTGAAGTGATCCACTCAAAGCAAAGAATTCCGTGAGATCACTATGGAAGTATTCTTTTGCATTGTCCAACTGGAAAATATGGATTTCAGTTTGGAACTGAGTGAACACCATGCGTTGAAAGTCTTTCACAATTTTAGGCACTTCCTCTCTAGACCACATAAGGTAAACCCAGGTGTATCTAGAGTAATCATCGATCAAGGTAATGAAGTACTTATATCCAGCCTCAGTAGGTAGAGTAACAGGGCCCCAAACATTAGAATAAACAATATGAAACGGAAATTCAGATCTTTCATTTCTCAAAGGAAAAGTGCTTGTACAATGTTTACTCAATTGACATGTCTAGCACTGCAACTGACTCACTAACAAAGACTCAAACAACTTTCGAGACAAAACTTTTAACGACTCAACAGAAAGATGACCAAGACGACTATGCCATAAATAGGCTTGACTCTCATTGAACGAACTCAAGGACTCTGTAGCCACAATACCAGCTTTATTCTCCAACACATAGAGGCCATCCACCATGCTTCCTCTACCAATCGTCTTCCCCGAGGCCAAATCCTAAAACACACATGAAGACGGATAAAAAGTAACTGAACAGTTCAAGGAGTCGGTAATACTACTAATGGAAAGCGGATTTATAGGTAATTTAGGAACAAGTAGTACGTTAGAAAGGGTAAGGCCGAGTGGGAGAAATATGGTTCCTTGGTCGGCTATGGTAACCATCAGCTAGTTTCACCTTATCTCTCCCAGAGAGAAGTTGTATGCCTGAAATAAATTTGACTTACCGGACATGTGGTTTGAGACTCCGGAGTCAATTACCCAAGGGGAATCAGAGGTATGAGATGACATATGGAAGGCAGTGGCAGTGTTACCTGAAGTAGATGCAAAAGAGGTAGGAGTAGGACCAATATCCATCTAGCGAAGAGTCCTACCATATAACTCCAAATGGTCACGGAAGGAGTTGATGATCTCTTCCTTAGGATCAGAACTGTGATGTCTTTCCTGAGTTACCATGGGACCAGTCTCTTGAGATGCCATATTAGCTGAGTTATACCTTTTCTGAGTTTGCTAACTTGGTTTCTTACCCTGATCAGTTGTTGACTTCTTACCCAAATCTTGTGCCCATTTAGGTTTTCCATGGAGATCTCAGCAGGTATCTCTGGTGCGTCTTGCCTTCTGGCAATGAGTGCACCAAAGCTTACTCTTATCATATATTCTCTTCTGAGAGTCACCTTTCTTAGAACCACCTCCGACATTAGTATTTGAACTTCCCCGAACAGCTAGAGCAACTGGCTCCCCCTCTGTAGAATTCATCACATTTCTTCTACTTTCTTCTGAATGAACCAAGGCATAAACCTCCTAAACTGATGGCAAGTCTTTACTTCCCAAGATCTGCACCCTGATGGACTCATATGAAGGATTCAGCCCCAAGAGGAAGGCAAATACCCGTTGCTAAGATACAAGTGATTTGTATGCCTTTGCATCCTCATCACACTTCCAGTTAACATTCCGATAGTGATCAAGTTCTTTCCATATCGATGTCAGATCTGAATAGTACACTGAGAGACTCCTTTCCCCCTGCTTGCAAGTGGACGATTCCACTTGCAGTTGGTATATCTTGGCATAGTGTCTCCGCTCTGAATAAGAAGACTTTGCTTGTTCCCATATTTCACAAGCAGTTTCAGCCCACATAAAAGTTTTTCTCACCTGTGGCAGCATGGAAACCAAGAGCCAAGACATCACCATACTATTTTCTTGGTTCCATCTATCATATTCAGCACTTCCGCTCTTCGGTTCCTTCACTTTCCCATTGATGTATCATATTTTTCCCCTAGCAATGATGTAGAGTTTTATTCCCCTAGACCATTCAAAGTAATTCAAACCATCAAAGGGAATAACAACCATGGGGAAACTCATATCCATTCCCCCACTTACCCCATTTTGATTTCCAGAAATCCCTGAAGTAGTAAAATTCTCAAAAGACATGGTCAATACAGATTTTTTTATCAAAAAACTTCAACTTAGGATCCCTCCTTATATCAGAACAAAAATCTCCACACACAAGTGATTAGTCCACCCACACTGTAGTTTTTGGACTTAATCTGAGCACAAGACCAGCACCAATTTCCAGAAAAAACAAGATGACAGATCTGATTTTCAGACCTATAGGGAGTAGCAGTCCCAGCCTACTAGTTTTCTCAACAGGCCTACAAGCAATAATCACACGGGGGAAATCCTTGCACACAAGGCATCAAGCCAACAAGTAGAGAAAACAGGTCATATGTGACCTACAACAACCTTTCACAGGTATAGGATCACACGATCCAAAACAAACAAAGGAAAAACCTCACAAGGGTGTGCCGACATTCAGTGGTTCAGGTCCATTCGTTTTCCTCTTGGTACACGACCAAGGGAAGAGAAGAAAAGAAAAAAAAATGGGGCAGTACCAATTGTTGGTCTGATTCGATCAACCCAGATGTACTCCTCTGTTCCGCCCAAATTCAGTAGCTTAGAGAAGACACTTGATCGCCCAGATTCAATGGCCACGCTCTGATACCATCTTGACAATAAATCAGATTGAAGGTTACAGCAAAAGAGAAGAGAAGAGAAGAGAAGAGAAGAGAAGAGGAGAAGAGAAGAAGAAAGAAGTGTCGAGGCAATGGAACAGTGCTGGCGGCACCAGCTTCATTATAATATATAGGGCGAAAAAAATAAGAAAGGAAATGACCCTTGTGCCCCTACTAAGTGATGGTACAATAATAAATTAAAATAAAAAGGCTTTAATCAGCCAAACAAACCCTAACACACATAAAATCAATTATTTCAACAAGAACAAAAAAAAGCAAAAAAAAGAAAGAAAAAAAAAAAAAAAACTTTGTTGGAGATCTGTGGTGTTTTTTTGGTGGGGGTGTTGTTACTTCTCTTTCTTCTAAGCTCATAGATGAAAGCCTCCAACAACATCAAAGGCATCTCCTTCAAGGACCTTCACCAGTGTACTAGACTAGTGATACAAACTCTAGAACGGAAGAGTTGTTACTCCTCTAATAGGGGCACCCATTGATAAGCATTCATAAACAATGTTTTAAAACGCAGAGGCCTGAGACCTAGTTCAAAACATAAGAGGTGTAAGTCTTCCAAACACAAGAAGACGAAAGCCTCCTTAAGAGGAGGGGGATGAGGAGGGAGGAGGGAGGAGGAAAAGAGGAAGGAGGATCTCATTTTTCTTTATTTTTAATAAAAATCTTTTATATTAAGAAGAACGAAGATGCATAACACTAGCTAAAAGGTGGGGTCTTGTTGAAGCGGAGGCGAGCAAGCCAAAGCAGAGCAAGACTCCCCTAGCACAAAGAAACCAAATTGGGCTGCAATAGATAGAGCACTCTACCCACTTTCTTTCCCCTTCTCTTTCCTTTCTCTTTTTTTCTTTTCTTTTTTTTTGATAATTCTCTTTTTTTCTTTTCTTTCTTTCTTTCCCTTCCCTTTCTTTTCCTTTCCTTTCCTTTCTTTTCTTTTTTCTCTCTTTTTCTTTTCTTTTTTTTGTCTTTTTGTATAAGGTGTGCATGAGGCGTATGCCTCTAGCATGCCTAAAAAAAAAGGCATATGAAGCATACGCCTCAGAGGTATCAACACCTCTAGCATACACCTCAGGGCATTTTGGGGGTTCCACGCTTTCCCACACCTTTTAAAACACAATCTGTAACTTAACCCCTTGGAAATAAAGGAGACTCTACCAAATAAATTAGATGGAGAAAAGAGTGATAAGCTTCTATGTTCAAATCAAGTGGATCCCAAGACAGATGAATTCAATTGCATATTGTTTAGCTAGTCCAAAGTAAGAAGGCATCTTTGTATGCAAAAGCTGAATACCTAATTAGTGTCAATTTCAATAAAGACCTAACACTGAGAGTAATGTTTACAAGCCTCTCAAGAATCCACCATAAAAATGATGACTGCTTTGCAGCTTCCCATGTTAATTAGTGATGAGTAGCATGGATTTTAGGATAGACATTTCAATAGAGATGGAGTTTCCAGATGAAAAAGGGCTTTAATTGAAGTTATCAATATTCTTAGAAAAAAGGGAAAAGCCCCTGCCAAGGTCATTTCCATAGAAAATTCAATTCCATCAAAAAGAGAAATGCCTCTTTTTCTTTTTTCTTGTTTTTTTTTTTTTGAGATAAGGTATAACTTGATAAGCCTTTTTAGTTAACCTCCAAGAAGATAAATCATTCCCGTAAGCACTTAGGAAACCCTCTTCCCTTTCATAGATTCATAATTGTTGTTTATTGCTGAATTTCCTTTGAGTGTAATTCTGTAAATCAGAATAACATGATGAAGCTACATACAAATAGAAACAGGGCTTCCAAGTGATTTTTGTTATAAGTAATAAAGAGACCCAGTCTCTCTGCTCATCTTCAGGAACCTAAAATATTAATTGGTGGGGGTGGGGGCTTTTCAAAATAAGGCAAAACCTGCAATATTGTTTAATGGAGCTCGAAGAAATGTGGTCAGTGCCAAAAATATAGAACTTGCGGAAGAAAAAAAAAACTTACAATGAACAATCACTTTGTCAGGGAGCATTTTAACAAACTGCTCAGCTGCAAATTTCCAGTCGGTGGAACTGCACGGAGAAAGCAAAATATCCCAAAAGTAAACAATTAATCGAAGTACAACAACGTGTAGAACAGAATAAAATAAAATAATTAAGAAGCTATTGTGAAGACAGGGATGTGAAGTCAAAATAAGACCGGTAGATTTAAATCTGTATATAGGCATAACCTTAAGAATCAAAAGAACCGAAAAATTCACGTAAAGATAAAAAATATACACCGTCTTTTTGAATTCAAAACAAACCAAAATCTAACCCTCCATCAAAACCGCTTCCGGTATCCCAATTGCACTCCCAAACAAACAGAAATAGTAGAAATCTCATCCAACTATCAGAAAAATTATGACAACAAAAAAAGTATAAATAAATAAACAATTGGGATAAAAAAAAAAGGAGCCGACCTTCCTAGAATCCCATTGACCATGATAACAAGATGATCAGCCGTAGAAGCAGAACCATTACAACTCCAAACATCTCGACCCCCATTAATCGATTCCGAACAAACACCATTCTCTTCCGGATCAAAATCCACACTCTTCCCCATTTCTGGTTCGAAGGATCAAAAAACAACGACGAAGAACGAAGAAAATTACAGGAAGAAAGGGTATCTAAATTCTAAACAAAACAGGGATCGTTCATTCTGTGGTTGCAAGAAAAAAAAAAGACTCACAGTCAAAAGAAACAGAGAAAAAAAAAAGTTGAAGAAGAAGAAAGAAGAAAGCAAGGAGAAGGGCGTAAGTGGTAAGAGATGTAAGAAGTAAATAAGATGGAAAAAAGAATAGAAAGCAGCAACGGGGGAAAGGGGAAAGGGGAAACGAAGGAAAGACGTAACGAAGGGTGAACGAAAACGAAATGCAAAACGTAGACGCGTCGCTGAAGATGTCCATCAAACACGTTCAACAAGGTCATGATCGTCTATATAACTAATTAATTATTATTATTTTGTAACAATCAAGCGGGACCCACTTGCATTCTATAATATAACACAACACACTGATCATCATGTTTTTTTTTTTATTTTGATCAAAACGAAAAGTGCTACACATAAAAAAGTATGATCATAAATCATAAAAAAATATAATATATAAGATATAAGATATTTATTTTTTTGGGTAAATCGACACGTAGGTGTAGGTGTAGGTGAACAGTTGGACGAGATTTTGGTGTTATGAGTTGTGTTGTGCCTACTGAACCGAACATAGCAGCAGGCGTCGAAGAGGGTAATATGTTTATCAGACAAACTGAAATCAAATACCAATATATAATCCGACGCACCCACCCACCATCCTCTGAAACATCATCAGACCGATCAGACCACGTGAGCTGAGGTAGTGGTACCACTTGATTACTTAGGAGGTTAAGCAAAAGTTCATCATTTCCGTTCGCCGTACAATAAATGAGAAGTCGTGATGGATAATGATTATGAATATCAATCAAATGAGAGAATACGCAAACGCAACGCAAGGCATTGGAATAATGGTTATGGAACTTTTGATGATTTACGGTTACCTACCTCTACCCATTCAGCGGTTCAGCCATTCAGGCTGGGAGTGGGGACTGTGGTGGAGTTTGGCCATGGCCTGCGCTGAATGTCAGAACTCCGTCCCCCCC